ACTATTATTATTATTATTATTCAAGGAATGGGCAAATCAGGATCGGTCACTAGAGCCTAGAAACTACAGAGGACGACATGACGTAACACCTAACTTGTGGAGGAGGAGGAGGAGGTAAGGTAGGTTTGATCATATGTGGTATATTTATTTACTAGTGTATTTCTTTGTTTCTTTAGCAGACATGACTAGGGAGAAAAGAAAAGTGGACCATGAACTTTATTTGTTTGTCACAAATTAAGTAATAATGATAGAGTAATGAGTTTTGCGTCATTGTCGGGTTTGGTAGGATTTACTTGTCACAAGCAAACACACACACAACTCAATTATTTTATATGTGGTATATGTTTATTGATTCATTTATCTTTCAGCAGATAGACCTTGGGAGGAAAGTGGATCATGGCCTCTGTTTATTCTGTCAGTCAAAGTGAGTATCAAAATAATGTTTTGCGTTATTGAGCGTGTTGATTGCAACATACACATGCATACATACATATACATACATATATATAACTCTCTCTGTATATATATATAACTATATAGTTATATAACTATATATATATAAAACTATATATATATATATAAAACTATATATATATATATAAAACTATATATATATATATAAAACTATATATATATATAAAACTATATATATATATATAAAACTATATATATATATATATAAAACTATATATATATATATAAAACTATATATATATATATAAAACTATATATATATATATAAAACTATATATATATATATAAAACTATATATATATATATAAAACTATATATATATATAAAACTATATATATATATATAAAACTATATATATATATAAAACTATATATATATATAAAACTATATATATATATATATAAAACTATATATATATATATATAAAACTATATATATATAAAACTATATATATATATAAAACTATATATATATATATATATAAAACTATATATATATAAAACTATATATATATATATATATAAAACTATATATATATATAAATAAAACTATATATATATAAAACTATATATATATATAAAACTATATATATATATATAAAACTATATATATATATATATAAAACTATATATATATATATAAAACTATATATATGTATAACTATATATATGTATAACTATATATATGTATAACTATATATATGTATAACTATATATATGTATAACTATATATATGTATAACTATATATATGTATAACTATATATATGTATAACTATATATATGTATAACTATATATATGTATAACTATATATATGTATAACTATATATATGTATAACTATATATAACTATATATATATCTATATATCTATATCTATATATATTACTATATGTATATAACTATATGTATATGTAACTATATGTATATATAACTATATATATATAACTATATATATATATAACTATATATATATAACTATATATCTATATATATATAAATATATAACTATATATATATATATATATAACTATATATATATTTATATAACTATATATATATTTATATAACTATATATATGTATATATAACTATATATATATAACTATATATATATATATATATATATATATATATGCATATATATATATATATATATATATGCATATATATAACTATATATATATATATAGTTATATATATATATATAGATATAGATATAGATATATAGATATATATATATATATAGTTATATGTATATATAAACTTTATATATATATATATATATATATATATATATATATAGTTGCACATACATACAGACATACAAACCTAGATAAATACATACATACATACAAACATAGATAAACACATACATGCACACAAACATAGATAAACACACATGCACACAAACATAGATAAACACACACATGCATACAAACATAGATAAACACACATGCATACAAACATAGATAAACACACACATACACACAAACATAGATAAACACACATGCATACAAACCTATATAAACACACACATGCACACAAACATAGATAAACACACACATGCATACAAACATAGATAAACACACATGCATACAAACATAGATAAACACACACATGCACACAAACATAGATAAACACACACATGCATACAAACATAGATAAACACATACATACATGCAAACATAGATAAATACATACATACATACATACAGAGATAAACACATAACATACACTCTCTCTCACTATGTATATGTACAGCGTGTGTATGTATGCATGTATGTATGTATGTGTATGGTAGCGTTTGCACATTTGTATGTATATATGCTTGTCAATATAATTAGTATGGATATAATTATCAGGATTAGTAGTTTGTGTACATTGACAACTTTTACACTACTTGTCAGCATTTCATCTCTCTGGGAACAAACTTTAGGCCCTGAAAAGGGCCGAGGATAATGATTTTGTGTTGCAGGTATGCAATCAAAACCTTAGGCGCGCTCTCCGCGGATACGGCGAGCAAGCTGGATGTCCTTAGGCATGATGGTAACTCTTTTAGCATGGATAGCGCACAGGTTGGTGTCCTCGAAGAGGCCGACCAGGTAAGCCTCGGAGGCTTCCTGCAGAGCCATGACAGCAGAGGACTGGAAGCGGAGGTCAGTCTTGAAGTCCTGGGCAATCTCACGGACCAGGCGCTGGAAGGGCAGCTTGCGGATCAGGAGCTCAGTGCTCTTCTGGTAACGACGGATCTCACGAAGGGCAACAGTTCCGGGCCTGTAACGATGGGGCTTCTTGACACCTCCGGTAGCAGGGGCAGACTTACGTGCTGCCTTGGTGGCCAACTGCTTGCGGGGGGCCTTGCCTCCGGTAGACTTACGTGCAGTCTGCTTGGTACGTGCCATTTTGCGAGTTTGTATCTAAACAGATATGAAACGCGATCTCGCTCAAGACGTCAATTTATAGGAGAGCGAGCGAGCCCTAGCCGAGTCGCGTGTGGCTGCGAGAGTCTGGCTTAAGCCCGCCTATTTCTACTGTGTAAATATTGCCAGAGATACGGCACACGTCAGGTCCTGTAATGCAGCCTCCGTGATGCTATGTTGAATTCCAAGTCGAAGGATGCCACAAACGACTAAGGCCCAATCAATTGAAAGTATTGTGCACGTGACCTTTAGTCGATAACAAGGCCTAGGCAAGTTTGTATTTGCACAGCGGTCACTTAAGATAAGCGCTCGTCTGAGTCGGCCGCCTCGCCGCTACGCAGACGGGGCGCGGCGGTAGCCTTACCCGATGTGGGGCCGACGTTTTTCATCTCGTTAACTCTCAGCAAGAAAACCAGCATCATGACCGGACGAGGCAAAGGAGGAAAGGGGCTCGGAAAGGGTGGCGCAAAGCGTCATCGCAAGGTGTTGCGTGATAACATCCAGGGTATCACCAAGCCTGCCATCCGTCGTCTTGCTCGCCGTGGAGGTGTCAAGCGTATCTCTGGTCTCATCTACGAAGAAACCCGTGGTGTCCTCAAGGTGTTCCTCGAGAACGTGATCCGTGACGCCGTCACCTACACCGAGCACGCCAAGAGGAAGACCGTCACCGCCATGGACGTCGTCTACGCTCTCAAGCGCCAGGGACGTACCCTGTACGGTTTCGGAGGTTAAATGTCTTGACCGACAACTACCATCAAAACAAACAACCCCCACCAAACCAAAAACCTTGGACCTATTTTAGGTCCTACAAATACTCATAAAGAGGATACAATTTGACAATGTGTGTATGTTATCTGTTTATCTGGTTTTATTGATAAATCAACACGAGTCCCCAGTATTGCGATTACAAATATTGATTTGTGTTGCATCTGTACTGATTCTTTTTCTCATTACTCTAAATATTATTATCAAGCTTTATTAAGACCGACAACATTTGTACTGTTATTTTTATCATTACTCTAAATATTATTATCAAGCTTTATTAAGACCGACAACATCTGTAGTGGTATTTTTATCATTACTCTAAATATTATTATCAAGCTTTATTAAGACCGACAACAACCACCATCAAAACAAACAACCCCCACCAAACCAAAAAATTTGGACCTATTTTAGGTCCTACAAATACTCATAAAGAGGATACAATTTGACAATGTGTGTATGTTATCTATTTATCTTGCTTTATTTACCTACTACTGCTACTACTACTACTACTACTATTACTATTACTATTACTATTACTACTACTACTACTACTATTACTACTACTATTACTTGTACTATTGCTACTACTACCATTAATAATTCAACACGAGTCCCCAGTATTGCGATTACAAATATTGATTTCTCTTGCATCTGTACTGATTCTTTTTCTCATTACTATAGTTATTATTATCAAGCTTTATTAAGTCACTGTGTACGTTATTGTTGTTGTAAATGATGATGAACAAGAAATGTGTATGATTACATTAATTAAGCTTTAGTTACAATTTGACTCTAATAACCAACATGATGCAGAAGCAAAGAAACAAACCAAAGAACAAACAAACAGGTGTAACATGTTATTGCAAGCGAAGTAATGATTTGATTCTGTTTTATGATTTTATGATTTATGCTTTCCCTTGAGTGAGTGAGACGGAGAAATGTCATGAAAGAAAATTTGAGCATTACCTTTGTATTTGTTTGCATCAGCATTATTTCCTTCCTCGAGTCTACTTGTCTGAGTGTGCGTTTTACACATGCAGATGATGATATACAACAGGACGTCCATGCTGAGGAGAATAAAGAAAGACTGAAGTAGATATATTAGCCTAGTGGTAGTGATGGTTAAGTGCATGCAGCTGTATGTGTGTGTGTGTCTGTCTGTCTGTGTGTTCTGAGTGTCTGCATGTGTGTCTGTTCCATTTTGCTTCTAAATTACCCCCTGTGTGAAAGGAATGACACACAGGGGCGAGGGATTTGAACGCTGATCAGCAAGATTGCTACACGAGATCGCTACCGCAACAGAACGCTATAGAAAGACACTCAGAGGAGGGGAGAAAAAGCCAGACGGACACATACACGGAGGAAGGGAGAAAAAGACAGACAGACAGACACAGAAGGAGGGAGTCTTGTCTGTCCGTCTATCTGGCTAGCTAACTAGCTGCTATACATCTATATATGGTAGAAAAACCCACAACAATGTAAAATACTAGATTTATTGAAAATGAAAGTGAGAAGACAGTTTCGGAATCCACCTGGATTCCATCCTCATTAGTATCAACACGGTAGAGTGTTTTCCTCATTCACATGTATATATTTGTATATCTGCACAAGCAACAGCTGACCTTACAAATACTAATAACTCGGAGTACACCTCACACAAAACGTACACACAATACCTTGTTTTGTTAGTTTTTGGTATTATTTTAGTGAGAAAGTCAATCACATGGATACATACATAGATACATGCACAGCTACACACATACATAGATACACAGATGCATAGATACACGCATACATCGAAACACACCTACATAGAAACATAGCTACATAGATACGCAGCTACATAGATACGCACATACATAGATACACAGATGCATGGATACACACATACATAGAAACACAGCTACTTATAAACATAGCTACATAGATACGCAGCTACATAGATACGCACATGCATAGATACACACATACATCGAAACACAGCTACATAGAAACATAGCTACATAGATACGCACATACATAGATACACAGATGCATGGATACACGCATACATAGAAACACAGCTACATAGATACGCAGCTACATAGATACGCAGCTACATAGATACGCACATGCATAGATACACACATACATCGAAACACAGCTACATAGAAACATAGCTACATAGATACGCACATACATAGATACACAGATGCATAGATACACGCATAATAGAAACACAGCTACATAGATACGCACATACATAGATACACAGATGCATAGATACACGCATAATAGAAACACAGCTACATAGATACGCACATACATAGATACACATACATAGATACACATACATAGATACACATACATAGATACACAGATGCATAGATACACACATACATAGATAGACTGGTGCATAGATACACACATGCATAGATGCGCAGATACATAGATAGACTGGTGCCTAGATACACACATGCATAGATGCGCAGATACATAGATAGACTGGTGCATAGATACACACATGCATAGATGCGCAGATACATAGATAGACTGGTGCATAGATACACACATGCATAGATGCGCAGATACATAGATAGACTGGTGCCTAGATACACACATGCATAGATGCGCAGATACATAGATAGACTGGTGCATAGATACACACATGCATAGATGCGCAGATACATAGATAGACTGGTGCCTAGATACACACATGCATAGATGCGCAGATACATAGATAGACTGGTGCATAGATACACACATGCATAGATGCGCAGATACATAGATAGACTGGTGCATAGATACACACATGCATAGATGCGCAGATACATAGATAGACTGGTGCCTAGATACACACATGCATAGATGCGCAGATACATAGATGCGCACATACATAGGTACACAGACACATATGCTATTACATTGCCCACCTACAAAAACAGATAAACAAACAAACAAAAAACATGAATGAATTGATGGTTCGATGGATGGATGGACCTATTCGAGACGCGAAAACAGCCATACAGCCCCACAAACTTACAGTGATGCACAAGATCGTAAACAACCTTGTTGACATTCACAAACAAGAAATTCACACAACACCAACTTGATTGTAACACTGACTCTTACAAGCAAGCAAGCAAGCACTCGTTCATCCATTCTTTCTTTCTTCTCACGCACCATACGCGAGCGAGCGACGAGAACACAAAAAACCACCACTTGGACCTTGACCCTTTCCCACAAACAAACAAACAAACAACAATGCACTTGTTATAATATAC